ACTGACTGACTGACTGACTGACTGACTGACTGACTGACTGACTGACTGACTGACTGACCTTGAATGTTGTGTTACTGATCGGCAGTGTTTACTTTGTCGATGGAAAACTTTTACCCTCATGTTGTGAAGCGCATTAATAAGGAAATATGTGAAGTTCTGAATGAAAATATTGAAGGAATAGAAATTCTTGTTAATGAGCAGGACTCTATCGATATCCAAGTAAAAGCTGTAAGCTTAATACCGTTTACGTTCAGGCTATCATCAATGGACCCGAAGGGACCCCCTATGAGGGTGGAAGATTCCATGTCAAATTAGTGTTGACGGAGGGCTATCCCATGGATCCTCCTAAAGGATACTTTTATACCAAAATATTTCACCCGAACATTGCGCCTGCTACCGGGGAAATTTGCGTAAACACACTAAAGCGGGATTGGAAGTCTGATCTAGGGTTGAAACACATTTTGCTGGTAACTACATGCACACTCTGTTTAATTTCTCAGGTTATACGGTGTCTACTACTTGATCCCAATCCGGAATCAGCACTCAATGAGGAGGCTGGTCGGTTACTGTTGGAAGACTACAACGAATATGTGGCTCAAGCACGGTTATACACGGATGTGCATGCCTGCCATCACTTGCGTAAATCTAAACAAGCAAAAGATAATTGTGAAGGCGATGCGCTGGGAATGTAAGTTTTTTGTTATCCAATTTTGGTTAGGCACTTCCGTCAGTTTTTTCGTATCAACTTTTCAAGTAGGAAGGCCATTGGGAAATCTCACGCAATGGCACCGTCACGGTATACTTCATTAAAATAGCTACGTGGTAACACCAGTCTAATACTCCTGCACAGCTCTGTTGAGTCACTTTAAATAAGCCATCATTTGACTCCATCAAGTCCACCGGCAACGGAAGTGTTAAGTGGCGATTTGACTTGATGTTCATGTAATATTGATAATAATGGTTGTTTACATCGGTTTTCACGGTTTTTGTCTATAAATTCTCAAGTATTCCGTTGTCATTGAGTGCGCTGTCTTTGTTTAGCTGTAATGCGTGCTTTTAGCTTACGCTGTTCTCAGCATTCACTTATGGTATTTAGTCTCTCGGTTATTTGAAGCATTGAGTTCCCTTCATCCATTTCATCAAAACAGAAAGAAAACAAATGTCGCGAGATGTTAACATTTCGTTTGATCTTCTCAGTCGCTGACTTAAAACAAACAGGCACATATATAGCACATGAGATTAATCAATTTTGGTGAACAAACGTGTTCAAGCATACAAAGATTGCCAAGTTTAAAAGTAGGTCAACTCTACGGTAAGTGGATTGCTTGTATCAAAAACTTTTGTGCGCACAGAGTTGGGTGATGTAATCGAATAGGCAGTGCTTCACTAATCGCCAAAAGTTTAGCATCCCGATTAAGTAATAGTGGTTTGAAAGACGAATTAGGGTCATCTGTCTTTTTGCCATGAGATGTTTTGCAACAGATGATCCTGGATTCTTGTAATCACTTGTCGGTTGCGTCATCGATTTGACCAACCACTGAAATATGTTCGGCCATCCTTTGTGACAGCTGACGGTTTGTTCTGCCTATGTATGCGTCACCGCAACTGCAGGTGAACTGGTACAGTGTATGAGACGGAACTCATGGCAACAAAACACAGTTGACCCTAATTCGTCTTTCAAACCACTATTACTTAATCGGGATGCTAAACTTTTGGCGATTAGTGAAGCACTGCCTATTCGATTACATCACCCAACTCTGTGCGCA